ATTAAGCAAAATGTGTAGGCTACGTTTGTTTGCAGTGTAAATACCATTCCGGTTTTCTATGCATTTGGATGAGGTGTTGATAACCCTCGCTAAAAGAAGTAAAACTCCACACTAGTTGGGTTTGAATTGAGAGAAAGTTACCACTGATAAAATCGATGTAAAATTCTTCTCTCTCCTCCCTGTGAATAATATATATATATATATATATATATATAAGTATCAGAGGTATTCTTAATGTGCGGCCAGGATATGCTGTGAGAAGTGCTTTATGAGGAGCAGAATCGAGTTTCATTCTCATTAGTGGCAGTGACCAATAAGGATTTTTCGACCCAAGAAGGGTTTTCTGATGGTGACCAGGAAGCCATTGTCTACGGTGACAATCTACTTGTTGGAGCTTCTATTTTAACCATCAATCTCATATTTGTTGGTCAAAGAATCTCTTAGTCCAAATTTCAAACTTCTTTTCTAGTTTTCGTGTCCTTTGTCCAAGAGGTTTGAAGAAATGGCGATGGATCTCTGGTCGGAGACTTGATTAGAAAACGTGTGTTGATTTCCACCGTGCATATTTGCATGTTCACCGCTACGAAAGACGACCTTGTGTGTCTGGTGCACCGTGTATCAGATGACATAATTGGTTAAAACATGATGGATAAAGTCCACATTGTCGGAGAAAATTTCCGTTTTAAGTGCAATCTCAGCAGTGGTGAAAGCGATGGTAAGTTGAAAATACACTTTGTAAAGTGTGAATGCAAGAAGAATAATTAAATATTTACATATTTACTTGAGATGTGACAAGTAATATCAATGAATGCATTATAGTCGTAGTTTTATAATTGTGTTGAAGTCATATGAAAAATTCACATAAAATATATTTTTACTTCAATTATTCAAAATATATATTAATATTATATAATAAATGAATATAAATAATATAAAATAAAACAATCAATTCCTATTTATTCCATGTCACTTTTGAAACAATCAATGAGATGTACATTCCCAATAACCAAAATAATCTCTTATTCTAAAATTTTTCCTAAACTACCTCTCCTATTATCCACCACTTTTTCCAAAATTATCTTTAATTCTTATTTATCTCCAAAATTATCTCCAATTCCTATTTATCCTCTCCCCTACTTTTTATCTATATCTATCTAAAAAAGTTTGGATTTAAAAATTTAATAATTATTTAAATATTCTAACAAAATTATATTATAACTTTAAAATATTTATTAAAAACACAAAAATAATTCTATATTTTTACAATCTAAAATATGTTTTTCCGGATTATCAATTTAAATGTTTCCAAATATTTAATAATATGTAATAGCTTTAAATAAATAAACTTCAAATAAAAAATAATAATTTTTTTTATAGATTATTTATATTTAAATAACTAAATATTTATCATAACTAGATTTTAGATAGTTAAAATAACGAAATTATGTAATAAATTTAAAAAATTTCTTCAAAGTAGAAAAATAATTATAACGTAATATTGAAATTAATAATAACTTAATATATTACAAAATTAATAATGAAATTATGTAATAATAGTGTAAATTATGATTTTAGGGATAATTAAATTCAATAAATAATTAATAATTTAAAATTTAAATATTTAACATGTTATTTAAGTATTTAAATAACTAAATATTTTAAAAAACAAAATATTTAACATAACTAGATTTTAAATAGTTAAAATAAAGAAATTATGTAATAAATTAAAAAAAATCTAAAAAGTAGAAAAATGATTATTGGAGATCAAATTACTATTATTGAAATTTTTAAATTTAATTTGTTGTATTTATTGTATTTATGTTATAAGTTATTGATTAATATTATTAGAGATTAAACTATTATTTGAGATTTGATGGAGGTAGATTTGGCCCGACCCCTTGGCTGTGCAACACGTGGAAGAAAACAGGGTGACCTGGCAGGAACGTCAGCTCGGCACGATGACATAGCACTGCCATATCCCAAGAAGAGGCCCGAGCTTCCCAAGCTCTCCAATAAGAGGGTCGAGCTCCCCAAAAGGAACCCACACTTCCTGGGATGTGAAACCCGAGCTCTCCCTAAGAATCCCGAGGCTAACAGAGAAGCCCGCGAGGGGCAAAGCCCGAACTAGCCCACCTCGGGTCAGTCCGGACCATATGCTAGCACCTCGGGACAATAGGACATACTCTCATCCGAACTCAAGACTTCACCTCGCGCACCACTCTGGCACCTCGGCTCCAGGTCGCGCAACTGTGATACCGTACCTGACAGGTCCGTACTCTGAGGCAGCATGCCTGACTGGTCTGGATCTGACAGATGGCAATCACGCCTTAACGGCCACCTGCTACCGCCATCTCAATTGTGGCAGAGACGGCCCTGACAGAGAGGACAATGGCGGTTATGTCTGCCCCCCACAGAGGCGGTTATACCTGACTTGGAAGAAACTTTGAAGTAAGTGCACCAGGTGGTTATAAAAGACCTTCTTCCCCCAGAGAAAGAGGTATGTGATATTTGTGATTTCTGGTCTTGAAATCTCTTATTTTCCCTTTGCCTTCTCAAGAGTATTAACTTGAGCTTTGGAGTATTCCCACCGGGTTCCTCCCCGGAAATCTCTAATTTCTTCCTTGTTTCAGGCATCTTCAGCTCCGCCAGAGGCAAGGTTACCAGCAGCTAAGACCGACCGGATCGTGCATCATCAAGGTTATACTATTTATTGACTAAGTTAATATATTTTTAGTACTTATTGTATTTTTTATTATCATTATATTTTCAATAATTGTGTATTTTTGCTATAAATTTTCAATAATTATTGGAGATTAAACTATTGTTATTTATTAGAGATAAGACTATTAATTTAGTTGAAATTATGAATGTTCATGAGTTGGTTCGGTTCGGTAAGTAGGCTATTTGGCCAACAAAATTGACTTAGTCAGGTTAGGGAATTGGTCAGCTAAAACCAACTAACCTTTTGTAAAAACCAACCCACTCAAGTTGTACTGGTTTGGGTCAATTTTTTTGGTTTGGTCAGTCGGTTCAAAAGATTTAAACTTAAAAATTTAATTTAATTTTAAAAATTATAGTGCAGTTATTAAAAATTAGATTTATGATATAAAACATTTTAGACTAAGAAATATGGGAAATTTCCCACTTTTTCATGTTAAAAATTATATTTAAAATATAAAATATTAATATATATCCATGGTTAGGTCATTCAATTTTGGTCAATTTACAAATGACCAAAGTGAAACTGATCCAACTTGGTTGAATTGGAAAATTTTTTAACCAAAGCCAACCTAAAATACTAGAAAACCGACCAACTCAGGTCGATTTTATTGGGTTGGTCGGTTTCATTAGTTTGATGAATAAACCTAACTGAAATTAATTATTGTTATTTTTGTATTATAAATTTTTTTAAAGTAGTATATAAAATATGAATAATTATTAATTATTTAAAAAGTTGAAAATCTAAAACAATTGTATACTCTTATGTGTTTCTATTAGGGTCATTTACTAGAATGCACCTTTAGGGATGGCAATTTTCCCCATCCCCGACGAGGACCCGACTTCCCCGACTCGGTGAGGCCGGGGATGGGGATTGTTTTGGCGGGGCAGGGGTGAGGACAGGGATTAATAGGAGACCCCGGTCGGGGTCGAGGTTGGGGATGGGGATTGAGGTCCCCACCCCGCCCTGACCCCGATTATATCTATCTATCTATCTATCTAAATAAATAAATAATGTTTGATATATATATATATATATATCAAAACATATTTAAAACATTATTTATAATTTAAAATTTTTATTTATTTTAAATAAATTTATATAAAAAATACTATTATCTGAAAATATTCTAGGGATTTAGGTCCCCACGGGGAACCCATCCTCGTTGGGGGTCGGGGATGGGGGTTAATTTCAGAATCAGAGTTGGGGATAGGGAATATGATCCATGCCCTGTTGTCATTCCTACACACCTTATAGTTTTACATATTTACTTAAACGTACCTTACAATTTTCATTTTACTAAATCTTTCCATATATTTTACAACTTTTACTTAATCAACCTTTCATTAAGGAGTGCTTGTTTTTCCATTAGGCCCATGATTTTTTATTCCAAAAATACGCTTAAAATTTTTTTTTGTATAAAAAAACAAAATTGACCAAATATAACCAACAAAGTGGTTGCCCATGTCTTATTAAGGGCAAAAATGATATTTTTTATTTTTAATTTCTTTTGATTAAATTTATTTAATTGAACATTAGGTTCAACACTGTCATTTTCCACTACCATCTAATGGAAGATTGATCAAATTCTTTGCAAATTATAATTAGTGTTTTAGTAAGACGCTAACTATAGGATAGATTTTAGTAAATCCATTAAACTATAAGAGATATTTTAGTAAATGACTATTTCTATTATTTAGCTTTCCCTTAATAAATCCCATGCATCGTACCGGTCCCCGCTAGTAAATAATTAAAATTTAATACTTCAAACCATTGTAAATAAATTGAGAATGCATTTAGTAACATAAAGTTGCAAAACAAGAATATAAAGTTGCAAAAGAAGAAGGACAAGACTGTTATCCTTTTGGGTCCCACTTAATAGGAGCTCCAATCTCCTACCCACACATACTCAATGACATTACAAGTGTACAATGGGAACATCATTCGCGTTTACACATTACCCCATTCAGAATTCACATCAAGTTCCCAACACACAGTTGGTATATGCAGTAGGGCATTTGTGGGGCTCAGATGATCTTTACCATTCATGGGGAGATGTTCCCACTTAACGTGACATGCATAGGTATGGGTAGGAGATCAGGATTGCTTAAGAGTTAAAAGACCATCTCCAAACATTTTGGCCCCTGGCGTTGCTTAAGAGTTAAAAGACCATCTCCAAATCAATCGGGATAATGACGGTTCAATCCATATACTTGGGCCCATACGTACTTGCTTGCCTCTTACGATTCTTAGATGTTATCTAATAAATAAATAAATAATTGAACCCTAAAAGCGGATAAGCGCCCTCCATTTGATTTTCCACAGGTCTCTCTCTCTCTCTCTCTTTGTCTCTCTAGCGTGAAGTGGAAGAAGAGGTTCTGATGATGGAAGAAGAAGGAGAAGAGCAAGTTCCCAGTGGTGTTCCTAGTCTAAACAGCGATGTCTACTCGGAAATCCTCTACAGGCTGAATGTGAAGTCTATTTCAAGATTCAAATCTGTATCCAAAGAATGGAACGCTATTATCTCCTCTCCTTCCTTCGCTCTCAACTATTCCAAAAGAAAGCCCTCCATCACCGGCTTCTTTTATTCCAGCAGTCGCGCTTACAAGGAAAAGCTCCGATATGTGTCAATCGACCACAGAGAAGACGACGTATCCGACCCCTCATCGTGTCTTGGTTTCTTGGACAATCCAGCCATCCTCCGAAACTCCTGCAATGGCCTTCTCCATTGGTCCTGCTCTCGCGATCTCCACTACATCTCCAACCCATTAACCCGGAAGTCCGTACCGGTACCGTGGACGGCGGTCGACGTATCAGTCTTCTTTTCAAGCGGAATCGCTTTCGATCCTTCTGTATCTCTGCATTTCGAGTTGGTTGTTCTAATGCTTCAATTCCAGTCCGGGGAGGGTCATCATCTTCATGTGAAGACGTTCCGATCGGAAACGGGACAGTGGGGAGAGACCAAGAAGATTCTTACCATCGACCCCCAAGTTCGGGTTCGCCTTTTTCCAATCTCCCCTTATCAAGGAGTTTACCTGAACGGTTGTCTACACTGGGAGATGAACGATAATGCTCTACTTGTGTATAATGTGAACCAAGAGAGCGCTTATTTGATGGAGTTGCCTCCACTGCAATCATCTTCATCGTCTTATCCACAGCCCAGGCGTCGACGACCATTCAGGTTTATGGGCTTACTTGGGGAACAGCGGTCTAATTCTCTGACGGGATGCCTAGGGGAGTCAGGTGGGTGTCTTCATTGGTGTCGTCTCGGTCAACACTTGCTCCAGGTTTGGAGTTTGCAGAACAACGAACACTCGAGTTCTGTGGATTGGATCCCAAAATACACTGTCTATCTCGACGCGTTGCTGCTGGAAAACTCACAGACATCTGGGGCAATCATCAAGGGAGAAATTCTGGTTCTTGGATTTCTTCATGATTGTCGAGGGGTTTTATTGAGTCAAGGTGGTAAGGTGCTGGCCTACCATTTCGGCAGTAATTTGGCTAATGGGGTAACTAAGATAGAGTCAAATGTTTGGTCCGTAATTCAACCATACATGTTCTTCCCCTTTGTGCATAGCAGCGCTGTCGCAAATTGTCTAGGTTTATTCTTATGCCAGTCCATTTGAAATTTGACTTTTAATTTCCTTGGCTCGCACTTGTCAAATTTGATAATTATTAGTCTTTCTATATAAATACATCTTCAAATTGGAGCAATGGGTTTCCTCAATTATATTCCTCCTGGTTGTAAATAGCAATCTTTAATTGTGTATGTAGTTCCAGGAACCAACATATTGAATCTGAACCAAGTGTTCAGCTGTGGGATAATCTAATGAATTGGACTGCATTTATTATATCAGTTGTATGTTTCTTGTGGATCTTTACTTGTGTTACAATTTTTTTGTTGATACTGGCTCTGATTACATAGAAAAGATTTTACTAGTTCTAAAAGCATGCTTCAAATTGTTCACTGTAAGTTCTAAACCACAAAGCCATGACTACCTGCTATCAAACTATCAGAAAGGACACACTACCTCCAATTTATATTGACCAAAAATTTATGTTTTGGTCAAAATCTATGATGTATCCTTATTATACCTTGTGAAACGTGAACCAAAAAAAGTAAACAGACTTTAATCTGATTGGTTGAGATTTAAATTTAACTTTATCATTGGTTGATATCTACATTTAACTTGCAGCCAATATTAATGAATGCACTGTAGCTAAAATCTTTCAGCTTTCACAAAATTTCAATCAGTTGTGGGAATGTATACTTAATGGCCATATTGACATGTAATTCAGCATGGGAATTTTTCTTGGATTATAGCATCCTTGTTAATCACGGTATCTATCTATCTATTATGACAAGACTTTTATGTGAGTCCGAACCTCCTGCCCACAATAACTCTGTACATGTCTACGCACATACCATTACAGTCACACATAAGGATCCAGATCTCCTATCCACATAACTCTGCCCAGGGGGAGATGTTCGGGGTAGTGTGTTGTAAATATGTATCATTAGAGCCTTCGATCCAGGATGTTGTTTTTTGGAAAGATAGAAAAATTTCAGTACTTAAGCGTGTAATTACAAATGGGATCATCCTCACTGGTTGAGCACAAAAAATAAGACCTCACCTGATTTGGTGGCTTATCGAAAAAAGCATATGTTCCTGATTTATACACCACAACATGTGCGATGTTTTCAGTACGGGGTATGTAAGCAAATTTACGGTACAGTAAACTAGCCACCACTTAATTATACGGTCAAAAAATACTGTCTGCTGGTGGGGGCTTGGAGTCGTTGAATTTGCTAACAGTAACTGCATAACTGTAGGTCATGCATATTTTTATACTTGTTTTATCATCGCATTCACTCCATCATGTCTTTGGTTGTGTGGTGCATCGGATGCATCATAGATTTCCCTCAAATTAAAGAAAGGCATGGAATTTAATCCAAGGTCTAACCTTATGATCTTTCTTAACCTGCTCCAAGGAATTTAAATGGCTTTAGCTAGCATCTTGTACTCCATTTGCACTCAAACCAAGCTTTTTTTTTTCATTGGGTTACACAAATATTTAAAGTAGTAGAAACACAAGGTCTATCAGAAAGAGAATGTTAAGAGAAATCTCGGAATACGTTTTGGATATATATGGATACGGGAAAAATCAAGATACACATAAATATGTTTGAAAATTCAAACAAATTATAAAAAATATATTATTAACAATATTTACAAGTTTTGTATAATCAAATCATCTAAATGTAAAAAACCATAATTTAATGTTTATATAAAATGTGACATTGAGATCAAGGTTCAAAAAATCGTTATGTATCGGAAGCACCCTGATATGCCCCTATAGAAGGTGTATTAGGGTTTTGACCGGTTCAGGGGGTGGAGGAACCTTAAACCGGCCTCCTAAACTGGATTTGAAAAAAAAAGTAAAAAAATAAAAAATAGTACCGATACGCCCCTACTAGCATATCGGGTGTATCGATATTTAAAACCTTGATTGAGATATAATTAGTAATCATTGAAAAATGATGGAATAAATAAAAGGTGAAAAAACAAAAAAAAAACTAAAATGTGAATGTATATACATCAATTTTCAAATAACCAATATAATTATCTTGATATTTATTAGTATGTAAGTTTTAATAATTAATTTTAGCATTTATTAATAAGCACTACTAAGAAAAAAAATTGACTTAAAATTAAAATGCATATAATTACAACAAACAAATCGGAGTGGTTTAGTGGTGAAATTATGGGCATTAAAATCTAGTGACCAGGGTTGAAGTCTTGCTATTGTTAATATTTGTAGTTACATTAACAAAACGAAATGAATGAGAGAATTGTAATTATGAAGAAGTTAGACTTAAATATAGGAATAATAAACAACATTAATGAGAGAGATGTGGTATTAAATATAAATTAATGAAATTAATGAAACAAGGGAAACCGAAACGGTTCAGTTTGTACCAACCTGTTTCAGGTTTGTATCATTCTATACATACAAAAAGAAACAGAACACATGATTTTTACACATTCTATGTATCAGATTCTTATCAAAATATAATGTATCAACTAATACAGCCCAATACATTGTTGTAGTTTAAACATTGGGTTACACAACGAATCCATATTTGAATGCAGTCTGGATGAGCTATAGACAAAATCATACACACCCGGCTGAACTATCTATCATGGTTGAACACGCCAGTGCTCACTGTAGACCCCATTTAGGACCCAACTGTAATGAGCACTAGCATGTTCAACTGTGATAGGTAGTTCAACTGGGTGTATATTTCTAGCTAATCCACTCCCATTTGAATGGTCCGTATACCTAAGGTGCTAATAGGTTGGTGGGTAAAGTCTCCTGCTGGTGGTGGCAGAGACTTGGGATTGAAACCCTCCTGCACCTCCGCACCTGGGTTGGGGAAGGGGGGTTTGGAGGATGGGCATGGGTATGGGTATTTTAACATTTTTGTATCTCTTGACCGTGTCAAAAAGTTCAAGAGAGATGAGATAATTTAAATTACCAAACTTCAGAGAAGGTTTAAGCAATTTACCCTTTACTGAACAACTACGTGGTTTTGATCGGTCAAAGCTTCCGGCAGATTTACCATGAAACATATATGTTTAAGTTTAATAGAATACTATCGGATGGATAAATCCATATTTGATCCAATTATAAGTGGATCAGCTTGGTAAATAGTACAGATTCAAATGTAGAATGCAAATACAAGGTCTAAAAACTCATCCCAATAAAGCTTAGTTTGGGAAAAGTACAAATACAAAATGTATAGTATAAATACAAGGTTTAAGAATATCGTATAGAATATTTTGCACTGAATATATAAAGTGCAAAAACTTGTATTTTGCACTCTACATATTTATATTTGTACTCCTTTCACATATTTGTATTTGTACTCTATCCAAAAAGGAAGGAGTACAAAGACAAATATATAAAGCATAAAACCTTATATTCTGTATGTATTTGTACTCTACAAATTTGTATTTATACTCCTTCCAAACTGAGCCTAAAAAACCAAGTGAGTGAGTGCAAACATACAAATGCCTTTTGACTACGTCGAGGATAAAAAAGACAACGCAAACTACCCGAACTTCCTTACTGTGTGACATCAGAGAAATGACAATGTTAGCACAATACACAATAGCGCCACCGTCTGAATACATATCAAGGAAAACTCAAAACCAACTACATTCTGAAATCCATGACACATACAGTGTTGTTGGCGAAGCAGGCAGCAATCTTGTCACCTTCCTTGTTCCAACAGACTTCGAATATGCCACCACCACCGGTGTAAGTTTTCACCATCTTCCCATCTCGTATCGACCAAATGTGCATGCATTTATCTAAAGAACCGCTGGCCAAATATTCCCCATTTGGGCTGAATGCAACAGAATATACAGGATCGCTGGTGGAAGGCCAAGTTGTAAGCCATTAGTATCATGATAGTCATGAAACACTAACATATGTGGCAGAAGACGCAGCAATTAAGAAGTTCGTGTATTAAATAAATATTATTTATGCATTTAATAAGTGTTGTTCTAAATATACAAAAAGGAAATTGTGGCATATTTTATATCTAAGATCTTATTTATGCATTTGCATGAACCTAATTAAGAAAAAAATATTAGAAAATAAATATTTCATATTATCAAAATCCTTGTGGAGGTACCAGTTAGCACTTAACATAGCTGGTAAAGTTACTTTTTGAGACCCTCATTGACCTGTGATTGAATCTCTCCCCCTCCCCCCAACCGCAGGAAAAAAAAGGTTCAGAATCCTTAGAATTCAAGCACTATATATTTTCCATGAAAAACTTGAATAATTTTCATGTATATTGGAAAGTACATTACTTCATACAGCCATGTTCAAAATTATAAAATTACATTTTTAATATACATATAAAAACTATTTAATCTGGTACCACTAGCTGCGTGTAGGTTAAAAAAAAAGGGAAAATTCCTGATTAGTACCCCAAACTTTTTTTTTTATGAAAACAGTACCCTAAACTTTAAAGGTTGTGTCAAGTCGGTCCCCAAACTTTAAAACATGTCTATGTGGTACCCTGAACTTTCAGAATGTGTCTAATAGGTCCCTCCCATTAACAGTCCGTCAGTTATCTGTATCATGTGATGACATGTGCCACTTAAAACTTTTAAAATATCAAAACTACCCTTGAAAGAAGACCCTATTCACTTTCTTCTACTTTGAGACTGAAGAGCTGCGTCATTTCTATGACGTGCCGGGAACTGACCAAGTTCCGGCAACAGCTGAAACTGCCACTGCTACGGTTTCCTATATATTCTTTATTTTTTTTTTTTTATTTTATGTAGCTGATAAAAATTTCCTGTATATTCTAAAATCCATCTTGGATAGTTGCTGCAACCTTCCTATCGCAACTAGGATGCAAGGGGAAATGATGTCAATCTTAACATTTACAAGGGAAAGGTTCTGTTGACTGTTATTGTTGCACCACAATGGTATAGCTTAGTTTCTTCTTTACTTATTTCCGAATTTACTTGTGTTTGGATTTGACTTCACTAACTGTAAACAAACCTTTTGAGTTTTTTCTCATTCCACAAGCCGGAAAACAAGATTGCTTGGAATCAAGGTGGAATGACAACATAGTTTACTGGAATTAAAATTTAAACAGAAGGATTTTTGTTTAAATTGGTTTATGTGGAAGTGGCAGATAAGGAAAATTTGATGGCACCTGATGAGTAGTTTTGACATTTCCAAAATTAACTGACGGACTGTTAACGGCAGGGACCCATTAGACACATTCTGAAAGTTCGTGGTACTGCAAAGACACATTCTGAAGTTCGGGAACTGACTTGATACAACCCCTAAAGTTCAGGGTACTGATCAGGAAATTTCCCTTCAAAAAAAGTAGCRTTGTGAAGTTGCATGTGAACAGCAAGTTTCACTTGGAAGGGTTTGAGAAACCATGAGACCTGTCTCACCTTATAGATCCAAATGGCCAAAAACAT